CCCCCTTCTGACAAGAAAAATTACTACATGACCCCAGGAATGGGGACCGAAGCAACCCACTTTGGGGTCCCAAGCCACAGTTTGAGAACCCCTGACCTAAACTGCAAGATCCTTGAGGAAGGGAACGTGTGTCTTCTATACTTTGTACAGGGATGAGGACAAAAGTCAGCAATCAATTAGTAAAATAATAATGTAATAAATAATAAAATACAGCTTCATAAAAGTGCATGGTAATTTAAAGAAATGCTCTCAAGAGCTACCAGTCTTCTTTCATTTCTTTAAAGTACCATGCACTTTTATGAAGCTTTAGTTTATTATTTATCACATTATTATTACTAACAAAGTATATCACACAAATGATACCAAAGGGGGGAAGAAATTAGGGAGGAAAGCAAATTACAACAAACCAATAGTAGAATTCACTGCTTTTAAACGTTTTAGATTGCAATCCTTGTCCTGCTGAATTAAAAGGTTATATTTCCACTAACTGCAATGGGAACAGGAATTAACACCTCTACCCCAATATAACACTGTCCTCGGGAGCCAAAAAATCTTACCGTGTTATAGGTGAAACCGCGTTATATCGAACTTGCTTTGATCCGCCGGAGTGCGCAGTCCCGCCCCCCTCCCCTGGAGCGCTGCTTTACCACGTTATATCCGAATTCGTGTTATATCGGGTCGTGTTATATCGGGGTAGAGGTGTAGTTCCTAGAATTTATACGTACTGTCCTTTCTATGGCCTTGTTTAGGTAATATCAGCAAAATACTTCCATTGGTGCTACCACCCATTCAGTTGCATCAGTGTTAACAGGGAGAGTGGGGGTGGGCCCTAGGGCTTGTCTACACTTGAAAGTTAACACAGGTAAATTAAGGTGTGAATGTAAAGTGCAACAGCTGTTCCTGACTAACTCCATGTTACTGGATTCAGAGTGGATTAAACAAAACAGGAACAAGGCACTATTGTTCCTGAATAAACCTAGGTTTACACTTAAAATTTAGGGCATGGCTACACTTGCAAATGTATAGCCCTTTGAGTTAAACCAGCCTTCGTAGAGTGCAGTAGGGAAAGCACTGCAGTCTGTCCACACTGACAGCTGCACGTGCACTGGCGTGTCCACATTTGCAGCACTTGCAGTGGCATTGGGAGCGGTGCATTGTGGGCAGCTATCCCACAGAGCACCTCTTCCCATTCTGGCGCTGTGGCTTGTAGGAAGAGGGCGGGGGATTCTGGGCCCAGTCCCAACACCCCATGATGCATCGGTTCGCATCCCAGCAATCCTTCTGCTTCCGTCCACAATTGGCGCCATCTTTCAATTGGCGCTCTGTCTTCCCTTTCGGTCTGTGGGAATGGAGCCTGAACTGCTGAGGAATATGCTGACGAGTTTCGCCAGCACATCACGTTTGGCAGTCGAGTTATTCCTTAAGAATAAAGTGACAGTGAGGACTCCGACGATATCGACTCGAGTAATGCATACGACACGAGATTGCTTGTGGCATTCACGGACATGTTCACCACCGTCAAACGGCGCTTTTGGGCTCGGGAAACAAAGCACTGAGTGGTGGGATCACATCGTCATGCAAGTCTGGGATGACAAGCAGTGGCTGCAGAACTTTCGCATGAGAAAAGCCACTTTCATGGGACTGTGTGAGGAGCTTGTCCCGACCCTGTGGCGAAAGGACACGAGATTGAGAGCTGCCCTGACGGTGGAGAAGCGGCTAGCTATTGCAATCTGGAAGCTGGCAACTACAGACAGCTACCGAGCGGTGGCTAACCAGTTTTGAGTGGGGAAGTCGACCGTTGGAATCGTGTAGATGCAAGTTTGCAGGGCCATTAATCACATCCTCCTCAGAAGAACCGTGACTCTGGGTAGCGTGCAGGACATTGTGGCTGGCTTTGCACAAATGGGTTTCCCTAATTGCGGAGAGGCGCTAGATGGGACGCACATTCCAATTCTGGCACCAGCCCACCTAGCCTCGGAGGACGTTAATCGGAAGGGCTATTTCTCTATGGTTCTCCAGGCGCTTGTGGATCACCGTGGGCGTTTCATTGACATTAACACAGGCTGGCCCGGAAAGGTGCATGACGCACACATCTTTCAGAACACTGGCCTGTTCAGGAAGCTGCAAGCCGGGACATTTTTCCCAGACCAGAAGATCACCGTAGGGGAAGTTGAAATGCCCAGTGTGATCCTTGGAGATCCCGCTTACCCTTTAATGCCGTGGCTCATGAAACCCTACACAGGGAGCCTTGACAGCAGCAAGGAGTGGTTCAACAACAGGCTGAGCCGGTGCAGAATGACCTTGGAGTGTGCTTTTGGCTGTTTAAAGGGCCGCTGGCGCTCTCTGTATGGGAAGCTGGACCTGGCCGATAACAGCATACCCGCGGTTATATCCGCGTGCTGTACCCTCCATAACATTTGTGAAGGGAAGGGTGAAATATTCACTCAGGCATGGAACTCGGCGGTTCAACACCTGGAGGTTGAATTTGAACAGCCAGAGAGTAGGGCTATAAGAGGGGCCCAGCATGGGGCTGCAAGGATTAGGGATGCCTTGAGGGAGCAATTTGAGGCTGAAAGCCACCAGTAATGTCTGGTGTCCTGCACAGGAGTGAAGTGCAGTGGTTCCAATGTTAGTAGGAATCTGTGTTTGCTACGTATGATACACTGACTTGCAGTGCCTGTTACTTTCCTGGGCTAAGGTATCTTTTACTTTATGCAATAATAAAGAATGTTTTCAAAGCAAAAAAATCCATTTGTTGAAAAGAAAATGCATTTATTGAAAAGAAACACAATTGCTTGAGAAACAGAAAGGGCAAAGGGGTGGGGTGGGGAACGGGACAATCACAGATTTGCATATGTCCTGTGATCATACTCAGCCTTCCTGTTTGGAGTGCTTTGCAATGAGTGCTGCACTTCAGGATGGCTATACTGTATGGTGATGGGGGTTGAGTGCAGTGGGTAAGGGTCGTAGTTTTCAGGGCTGGGTGGTGAAGCTACAGGTGTTGGAGGCAGCTGGTGGCGATAAGAACCCAGATGTTGGGGAAAGTGGGTTGGAGGTGACATGGGGGCACAAGGGAAAGAGTTTTGTGATAAGGGCTGCGGGGGGTGGGGGGGCAGGCGCGGTAGTGCTCCGCCTGCATGGCTACGAGCGCCTGGATTGAGTTCGCTTGGCCAGTGCAGGGTTAAAGTGAAGGAGCTGCAGAATGCCTACCGCAAAGCCCGCGAGGCAAACAGCCACTCCGGTGCCGCCCCTGTGACCTGCCATTTTTATTAAGTGCACTGGCCCCTTTCCATCATGTCCCTTGATATCTGCCCGAAGGTATCATAATTCCTACATCTGGAGCGCAGCTGGGACTGGACAGCTTCCTCCCCCCAAACACTGATGAGGTCCAACACCACGCCATTGCTCTATACTGGGGATCGCCTGGCACGTGGAGGCATGGTCACCTGGAAAGATTCGCTGAGAGCACTCCACGCCTGGCTGAGCAAACAGGAAGGGGATTTTCAAAATTCCCAGAGAATTTAAAGGGCGGGTCTGATGGTTGGTCACCTGAGGGCAGGGCAGTAGAGTTCAAACTGATGACCAGAGTGGCTAGAACAGGCATTGTTGGACACTTCTGGAGGCCGATCAGAGCGCATTAACAGACCAGGGTGTGCACACTGGCGCCGTGGTGCTCCAGCGGGGGCACATCAAATGTTATTCCACTTGCCGAGGTGGAGTACCAGGAGCGCTCTAGCCGCGGAGTCAGAGCGCTCTACGTGCCTTGCCAGTGTGGATGCGTTTTGAGTTTGAGCGCACTGGGCTGCTTTAATGCGCTCTAACTCGCAAGTGTAGCCATGCCCTTAGATCGACCTAGCTACATCGTTCAGGGGTGTGAAAAATTCCCACATCTGAGTGCCGAAGTTAAGATGACCTAACCCCAATGTATGTGCAGCTAGGTCCACTGACCTAGCTACGCTGCTCAGAGAGGTGGACTAACTGCAGCGACAGTAAAAAAGCCCTTCCATCACTGTAGCGCCAGTAGTGTAGACATGGCTTAAGAGTGACCACACTATTCCTGAATATTTCCATGTGTACACAAACCCTAAGTGTTCAGTTTCAGGTTCTCTGCCACAAATTTAACTAAAGCTAAAGTGAGAGAAATGAAAAATCCCACAAAGAGTAAAGTTTCTAAGCAACCCCTACATCTCTAAAATGACATAATACATAGAAGAAAAATAATGGCAAGACCTTGTGTAAATCTTTATTTACATGGAGAGTCACACTGAGGTAACTGGACTACTTGTGAGAGTAAGGAAGACTTGCATGCGGAAGATTTGGTGAAACCGGCCCTTAAATCAGCACAAAGAAGGTATGTTCATTTATTGAGTCAGAAAGAACAATCCATTTTTTCCATTGACAAGTTTTGAGGTCACTTTAATATTTAGGCCCTGATCCTGCAATGAGCTATGTGTAGGTAAACCCCTGAGCCAGGCAGAGCTCACTGGAGAACCAAGATCATAAATTTTCACTGTTCCAGTACAGCAGTCTTTCATGTCACTTTTATAATCCCGTGTTATAAAGTGCACTATACATCAACTGTAAAACGCTGCTTTGGTGTATAAGATTTGTGTAGTGAGTTAATTTTTTTTAAACCAAAGTTTTACCCATAATTTGGATACGCTTAAAATTATATGAAAGGAAAAGTTTGACAGATGTGACATACCTTTTGTGCTTCTGTAATTAAAATTGGCAAGAAAAGTTGCTCCCTAACATAATCTTAATTTCTTGTATTGCGCAAGGGGATCTAAACCCTTGAAAAACCCAGCTACTTCATAATAAAAAAAGTTTTAATTAAGCTGAGCCAAAGGTTAACTGAAAAAGGCAAAAAGCTGTTCCAACTTGTTTTTATCTATTCATCTTTGGTATTCATATAGTACCAATCACTGTTGTAGCTGGCATTTTTCTGGTGGCCCTACCATTTTCTGTAAAAAATAAATACTGTAAATGTTTACCCTTACAGTTGTGAAGAAAACTTTTGGAATGTGAACCACTGTGCTTCTCTTTTCCTGAGTCTGCAGACAACCTGAAACAATAGATTGGAGAGATGTGAATTTCCCCATTCATCTAAACTCTTTGGGGCAGGGACCATCTCATACAGCTCCCCCATAAGCTTCAATTTCATCACATTAGCACATGTTAAAGTCTATGCTGTCTAAGGGCTATGCTACACATTGCCTGATTTAGGAACAACTGTTCCTGAATAACTCCATGGGGTAGGCCTGATCTATACTACAAATTTACGCCAGCATAATTATATTGGCTAGGAGTGTAAAAAATCATAACCCCTAGCCAATATAGCTATGCTGGAAAAAAAAAAACAGTCCAGTGTAAACCCAATTATTCCGACCGAAGAGTACTTTTGTCAGCACAGCTAATGTTGTTCGGGGAGGTGGTATTAGGGCTAGTGCGCTCGTCGTACACCACCACGGCGGAGTAGAGGCCAGAGCGCAGGCGGGCGCGCACCTCGGCCTCAGCCGGCAGGATCTGCTCCAGGCTGACGGCGCCCTTGGCGCGGTGCCACACGATGCTGTTGCAGCGCACGTTGAGCGCGCCGCGGATGTAGCCGGCGCTGTGGGCCAGGAAGGGCCGGCAGTCCAGCAGCAGGCAGCGCCCGGGGCCCGGCCCGTCCGGCTCGCGGCGCAGGAGCCGCCGCAGCACGCTGCCCTCCACCTCGCGCAGCTCCCCCATGGCGGGCCGGCAGCGGGGCCGTGCAGCCGGGAGCCCACACAGAGCACTCAGGCCCAGCCCGGCCTGAGCTCCAGTTCATTTGCAAATTTGACACCATCAGATCAGGATTAAACAAAGACTGTGAATGGCTAGCCAACTACAGAAGCAGTTTCTCCTCCCTTGGTGTTCACACCTCAACTGCTAGCAGAGCACCTCACCCTCCCTGATTGAGCTAACCTCGTTATCTCCATACTGATTTATACCTGCCTCTGGAAATTTCCATTACTTGCATCTGAAGAAGTGAGGTTCTTACCCACGAAAGCTTATGCTCCCAATACTTCTGTTAGTCTTAAAGGTGCCACAGGACCCTCTGTTGCTTTTTACTAGAAAAAGGTTGACCTAGCTACATTCATCAGAGTTGTGAAAAATCCGCACCCTCAGAGATGTAGTTAAGACAACCTAAGTCCCAGTGTAGACAGTGCTAGGTCAACAGAAGAACCTGTTTGTTGTTGTAGTAAGTGTCTATAGCTATATATACCCTCCCTAAATGACGTAAGCTACAGCATATGAAGATTCTTTTGCAGGATAAACTGCATCTACATGGGTTTTTTTTGCCAGCATGTTTGCTAGAGGGATGATTTTTTCATATTCTAACTGACATAAGTTGTGTAGGCAAAACTTTGTAGTGTAGACTTGGCCCAAGTGTAGACAAGCCCTAAGGCCAAGTCTACATTATAAAAGGTTTGCCAGATTGACCACTGAAGCCCGACCTGATCTTGGAAACCCTTGTTGAGGAGTTTCTGTATTGTTAATTCATATGTTAAAATAAACTAAGCTGCTTAAGAACAGCTGTTATAAAAGTAGGGGAAACACACTATAAAGAATTATTTCAAATAGGCTTTGCTATCAGCAGTAGACCTAGTGAGGCCTAGCAGTTAGCATAAACAGTTGACATAAGTTAGCTTGAGTGTTTGGCTTAGGTTATAAGGACTTTTGCAATATAGATCTTGTAATAAATAAGTAAACCGGAAAAGAACAAAAACCAGGGGGACTTTTAGTATGTGTAAACATGAAGTTAATTGCATTGATGCATTAGAAATATTAGGAAATGTACTGAGGCACGTGGCTTGTGTCAGCAATCAGAACCCCAGTTATGGTTTTCTGGATAGCCCTACATGAACCTTAGGCTGGAAAATAATCTAAATATGGTACCTGGGTGTGTGGGTGCTCAGGGAAAAGGAGTATAAAAAAAGATGTATGCCCAATCTCTGGTGTGTGCATCGGGGTGATCAGATGGTGGAAGCCGGAAGCATTACATCCCAGTTATGATGTTCTGCACTGACTCTTTCTTCTATCTTCACAAGTCTCTGCTATATTGTGAGTATGTCAGCAGGGACTGCTTTATTCTTTATGTGTTTTCTGTGTATTAATGCTTATAAGGGCTGTCGATTTATCGCAGTTAACTCACGCAATTAACTCAAAATTTTTTATTAATCGTGATTAATCGCAGTTTTAATCACACTGTTAAACAACAGAATACCAATTGAAAATTATTAAGTATTTTGGATGTTTTTCTACATTTTCAAATATTTGATTTCAATTTGCAACACAGAATACAAAGTGTACAGTGCTCACTTTATATTTATTTTTAGTATAAATATTTGCACTGTAAAAATGATAATAAAAAGAAATAGTATTTTTCAATTAACCTCATACAAGTACTGTAGTGCAATCTCTTTATCAGGAAAGTTGAACTTACAAATGTAGAATTATGTACAAAAAAACTCTGCACTCAAAAATAAAACAATGTAAAATTTTAGAGCCTACAAGTCCACTCAGGCCTAGTTCCTGTTCAGCCAATCACTAATACAAACACGTTTGTTTACATTTGCGGGAGATAATACTGCCCGCTTGTTATTTACATCACATGAAAATGAGAATAGGTGTTCGCATGGCACTGTGGTAGTCGGCATTGCTAGGTATCTACGTGCCAGATATGCTAAACATTTGTAAGCGCCTTCATGCTTTGGCCACCATTCCAGAGGACATGCTTCCATGCCGATGCTTGTTAAAAAAATAATACACCTCTACCCCGATATAACGCTGTCCTCGGGAGCCAAAAAATCTTACCGCATTATAGGTGAAACCACGTTATACTGAACTTGCTTTGATCCGCCGAAGTGCGCAGCCCCGCCCCCCCGGAACGCTGCTTTACCGCGTTATATCCAAATTCGTGTTATATCGGGTCACGTTATATCGGGGTAGAGGTGTACGTTAATTAAATTTGTGACTGAACTCCTTGGGGGGGAATTGTATGTCTCCTGCTCTGTTTTACCTGCATTCTGCCATATATTTCATGTTATGGCAGTCTTGCATGATGACCCAGCACATGTTGTTCGATTTAAGAACACTTTCACTGCAGATTTGACAAAATGCAAAGAAGATACCAATGTGAGATTTCTAAAGATAGCTACAGCACTTGACACAAGGTTTAAGAATCTGAAGTGCCTTCCAAAATCTGAGAGGGACGAGGTATAGAGCACGTTTTCAGAAGACTTAAAAGAGCAACACTCCGATGAGGAAACTACAGAATCCGAACCATGAAAAAAGAAAATCAACCTTTTGTTGGTGGCATCTGACTGAGATGATGAAAATGAACATGTGGCAGTCCACACTGCTTTGGATTGTTATTGAGCAGAACCCTTCATCAGCATGGAAGCATGTATTCTGGAATGGTGGCTGAAGCATGAAGGGACATATAAATCTTTACCGCATCTGATCAGTAAATATCTTTCGACGCTGGCTACAATAGTGCCATGCGAACGCCTGTTCTCACTTTCAGGTGACATTGTAAACAAGAAGCAGGCAGCAATATCTCTTGCAAATGTAAACAACTGTGTTTGTCTGTAACGATTGGCTGAACAAGAAGTAGGACTGAGTGGACTTGTAGGCTGTAAGTTTTACATTGTTTTATTTTTGAGTGCAGAGTTTTTTTTGTACATAATTCTACATTTGTAAGTTCAACTTTCCTGATAAAGAGATTGCACTACAGTACTTGTATGAGGTGAATTGAAAAATACTATTTCTTTTATCATTTTTACAATGCAAATATTTGTACTAAAAAATAAAGTGAGCACTATACACTTTGTATTCTGCGTTGTAATTGAAATCAGTATTTGAAAATGTAGAAAATATCCAAAAATATTAAAATAAATGGTATTCTATTATTAACAGAGCAATTAATCATGATTTATTTTTCTAATCGCTTGACAGCCCTAACGATTATCTTTGGATTTATTTGGATAATTCAAGTTTCTATGTGTGGCCCACCAATCTCATAATAATTTCAAGTAGCCACCTGACCAAAGAACCTGTGATTAGTGACTTGTGTAATCTGCACCCCAAATTAATGAAAGTCTACGGTCAGTATACCTCTACTGGCAAACCCATCTAGTGTACATACAGCTTGCCCTGGCAAAAATTGCTTTTGTCAGGATAGCTTATACTGGTTCCCTGAGCAAAATAAGACACATGGGCAAAAGCACTTTTATGCCAGTATAACTGCATCTACACTAGGGCTTTTGCCAGCATAGAAATGTCATAAGAAAAAGATCACACCCTTACCAACATTAATACACTGGCAAAAGTTGCTAATGTAAACCTGGCCCGGAGCCTTGTCTTTACCAGGAAAACAGGTGTTTTTTTATCACATTACTAACACATGGTAAAAACAAACAAAATCCAAATCCATAGTCTGGCTGCACCCTAGGAGTTTTGGAATGTGTGTAGTACTAGGTGTTATCTACTCTAACAACACACCTTTAACCCTAGTCAAGACAAAGCTATGTGTTTGTATAGCACTGTCCTAGTGCAACGACCTTGGGTGGGCCTCTACTGTAATACAACTAAATAAATACCAATGTTTATGCTGAAGCCTAATAACTGGATTTTAATTCTCATTTTAATTATTTTAATGATTATTTTAACAAACATATCCAGTGGATGTGCTTTATTCCACATAGCTGGACATCATAAATCAAATACGGAAAAGACTGTTCATCTAGTCCATCCTTCTGACCAAAATAGGATTGTTCCCTACAGTATATTCTCTAACTTTTGTTCAGTCTACTTTTAAAAAGTGATGTATAAAAGGGGGGAAATGTTTCTTTTTTTGTTTCTGTGTGACATTAAAAAGGTCTAAAAAGTTTCAGGGATTTTTAAGAGTTTTTTTCTGCTTGTTTTTTTACACTAGAAATTCAGGTCTTGCATGCTCTTGAAATCTGTGACTGAAGAACTGACGTGCAGTACACTAAAACCACTCCTACTGCCTTAATTCAATGGGATTTCCTTATGTCACGTTTAATTTAAATCAGTGGGAGTTTTGAGAGTGTAACAATGGCAAGATTGGTTTTATACTTACGTTTATACACCTGAATATTTCTTTGTTAAAAAAATCCCATAGAAACAAAGAAATAGAAAAAAGATGCATTGTACCATCAAGGCGGTAAAAATCATGGACAAAAGCCAGGAAATTGAAGGCTGATATTGTCTTCAATTTACACTGTTGACTTTTTCCTGTTTACAGCCACTTGAGTCAATGGCAGAGCGTGGGTTACTGGCTTTTGTCTGATTGCATCACAGCCCTAACATTATTTAAATACAGATTTTGCATACGTTATAAATGTATGTCCTGAAACTTGAGTGCTATTTCACCAGGTATTATCAGGAGGATTCTATTTATACTTTGTGCCCTGAGGGCTAACTGCATATTAGCACAGTTATAATCCAAGAGTGTTTCAAGGTTGTTGTTCCCCACCCCCTCTCCCCATACAAGAGTGAAACGGCAAAAAATGCTACAAAAGGTTGCAACATAAAGGCCTACTGAGGTCAATGGGAGTTTTGCCTAACTGAGTTGTGAGGCCCATGTGGCGATATTCCCAGGCTGAGGCAATGTACTCATAACTTGTTTACTCTATGTACTGTCAGTATGAATAGTACTACAAAAATAGAAGCCTGGTACCACTCTTCCCAGTGCATGATTTACAAGACTCTAGATTATTTGCAATAGAAACAATATATGTGAAAGAGAGACAGTTGTGTTGCTGTGTCACTGTCAACTAAACAACCCCTCTGTTTCTAATCTCTGTGATTTGGAATTATTTAGGACAATCAGTGTGGGACAGGAAGCACTTAACTGCTTTGAGAAGCATTGCCAAATATCTCATTTTAATACTCATTTAATCCCACTTTGGACTTGTCTACACTAGAAATTTAAAAAAACAACCCGTTTTTAAACAGGCACAGTTGCGTAAGTTTTAAAAAAAGTTTAAATGGCAGTTCAGACCTAACAAATGCATTTCAAAACTAGTTCAGACTAACATGCAATTCAGGGTCTGTCTATACCGGGGAGATTCTGTTATGCAAAAGAGGGTCAAGGCTTTACTATGGGCACGTCTTCATTGGCAACGTCTTCACCCAGCAGCGCTTAATGTGTAGTCGCGGCACAGCGCTGGTAGCTATTCCTCTCCTGGAGGTGGTTTTTTTTTATAGCGCGGGGAGAGCTTTAACGTTGCTAGTGAAGACATAGCCCTCCACAAACAGTTGTTCCAGGTAAAAAAAAAGCCATGTTTGCGGAGTTTCTAGTATTTACATGGAGCTAGTTAACTGGCAGCCTGTTACTGGAATCACAACACAAGGGCGGGTGCAGCCATAGGCGCTGTGCGCGTACCACTGCCAGGGCCACAGGGGGAGGCACACAAGGGAGCAGCCCTGGCCTCCACACCTGGCACTTCCCGACATGGCCCGCACCGCGCTGAGCCGGGTCGGTCCCTCCCAGAGCCCGCTCTACACAACTACTCTAGGCGGCCTGGACGACATCCCCCTACAGCCTGGCCCGCCAGTCCCCTTCCCTCGGGCTCCGGCTGGAGACCGTCCGGCAGCGAACCAAGGGGATGGGGGGGGGGGGGGGCGCCTCAGACTGGCGCCAGAGATGATAACCACCCCGACCTCCACGGGCCACCGCAAGGTGTGCGCATGCGCGTTACTACAACGGGCTTCCTCAAGACACCACCAGCATCATGGGCTGCCACGTGTGCGCACGCGCGCGCCCTCCAGCTCACCTTCACCCGGCGAAGCCTTAGCGACAACCCATCTCCTCGCCCGAATATTTCTGCCCAATCAGACCGAAGCAGCACCAAAGTCCCGCCTCCTGCTCCCGTTTTATCCAATCGCCAGTACCCTTGACCCCCCCCCCAACACCGTTGTTATTAGGAGGAGGAGAACAAGGAAGGAAGGATCCAAATTACTAAATACCGAGGGGGGGAGCGCCACCCCTTCCCTCCGTTGTGGTTTGCCCTAGTCCACATACGCCAAGCAGGGGAGAGAAAGAACGTTACTGCCCTCTCTAGGCCCTGTAGTACCTCGCCGGGCCCGAAGGGGTTACTGTTATGGGGGGGGCAGCACCTCTTCCCCCAGAGAAAGGGTCATCCCCTGTGATCGGCTCAACCACAACGAACTCCCCCACTGTTACCGGCCGCTGTCCCGCCGCGACTGACACAGCCGGCACGGGGGGCCCCCGGCGAGGAGCCCGGTTCTCTGAGGCTCCGCGCCTGGGCCAGGCCTGTCCCCCTGCGGCCAAGCCCCGGGCCCCCTCAGCAAGCCCAGCCTGCGCCCTCTCCCCGCCAGGCTGGGGACCGCTCCGTACCTAGAGACCGGATGCTCGGGGAGGGGAACTTGACACTCACCTGTGTGTGTGTGGGGGGGGGGGGGGGGGACGTTATTAGGCGCCCAGAGAACGGCAGGCTCAGCCTCCTGCTCCCTTGGCCATGAGCTGTGGGGGTAGGGGTCTGTCACGGCAGCGGGTGGGTGACGCTCTGTGGCCTGCCATGGGCAGGAGGTCAGACAAGATGAACACGATGGTTCCTTCTGGGCTTAAAGTCTATGGTCTCTGCCCCAGGCTGCTTTACACCCGTCCCCGCTGGCAGCAGACAACCTGGTGTGCTGGGACACGGCTCCTGGCCCCAGCCCCTGGAGCCCCCCAACACACAGGGTGACTGCCGCTGTGATTCGCTGACAGCTACGTACAGACACCCGTTACCTCTCAGTCCTGGCTCCTGCAGATTTGCTGGTGCTGGGAAGTGGGACTGCTGCTTGTGCTCTTGCTCTGCCTTTTTTGTTTTAGGGCTGTCTCTCTAGCTCCAGCTCAACTCAAAACAAAGGAGACCCTGAGAAACATGTGACCTGCCAAAGCCAAAACACATGATGTCAGTGACACGCCAGCCAGTGGGAGCACAGCGGCAGAAGTACTTGGGAGATGTAGTTCAAAGAGACCACAGCGATGCAAACATCCGTGTCACGTCGTTTGCCTGCCCATTTTAGTCCATGGTCAGAGTTGAAGTTGGTATTTGAAACCATTAGCAACTATCAAGGGCCAACTTCCCAAAAATAATTGCACCACCCATCTAAAATGTAGATACATCCAGGCATTTGTTGGCATGTATAATTTACACATGAATTTTCTGAATGGAACCAGAACTGAATAGTCTTAACTGCAGTGAAAATTTAGTCCTTAGCTGTAACTTGAGGTAATATTTTCAGAAGGCCACTTCCAAAAATGAGCCCACAATCTTGGTGAGTGCAACCATCAGTGCTCACAAAAGTTCTGATTTATGCCCTTGACTGTTAGGACATTATATATTGGGAAATTATTCATATGTGAAATTTTTAAACTAGATTTCTTGTTCGATAGTCAATGTTTCAATTCTGATTTAGTTGAAAGAAGAAAAAACTAGTGAAGAGGAAATTGGAAGCACAACAGGCAAGAAGAAAATGAGAGGCTCAGTGAAAAATATTCTCCAACACCCACTGATATACAGTGTAGCAGTGTGACGAACTGGGACTGTTCTTAATGTGGTCTTTGAATGCTGAGTGGGGAGTGTTGGCTGGGAAGGCAGGGGAGGTTGGCTAGGACGGTCTGCATTGGGGGATGGGAGACTGGCCTTGAGGGAAGATACCTGAGCATGTAATGTAAGAACCCAGGAAGGGGTTAGAGGCCAGGTGACACCTTTGCCCAGGAAACTGAACAAAGGCTGTGGGAGGGGTCGCTGAAGGGAGAGTTTCAGGAGCTTGCTGGTGGAATAGCTGGGAGGCAGACAGGGCTCTGACCTCCCAAGGGGGCTGTGGGGCCCTGGGACCCCAAGATGGACCTAACTGGGAGGGGGGGGGTCCTGTTGTCTGTGCCTGCAAGACCTGTCTTGGACTGTGTTCCTGTCATCTAAATAAACCTTCTGCTTTACTGGCTGGCTGAGAGTCATGGTGAATCGCAGGAAGCCAGGGGTGCAGGGCCTTGTGTCCCCCCACACTCCGTGACAACTGGTGTTAGCAGTGGGATCTACTGCACCCCGTGGATGGCGCTTCCTGAAGTAAGTGACTGGGGAGCAGTAAAACGAAGGGACCAGGTGGGCTGAAGAGTCAGAGACTGTTCAGGGGGCGATTAACCCCTGGGAGTGTGTGACCAGAGAGAAGGACTGTTGCAGTAACAGGGTCCCCCGGGGATCACAGCAAGCGGTCCCGGGGCGAAGGAGTCTGCAGCTCGACCCTGGCAGAGAGGTGGTGACCTGAAGAAGGGCTGGCACACTAGGGGTCTCCCTGGAACGATGGAAAGCGGAGAGCACAGGCTGGCGAGTGGCCAGCAGGAGGATGTATGCTAAATGCCTTAAGAGCGACCTGGTGGAGCTGTGCAGGCAGAGGGGGCTGCGCATTGGGAGGTCCACCAAAGAACAGCTAATTGCCCAGCTGGAGGAGAGGGATCGCTTGGATGAACCGAGCCCTGTCCCTGAGAGAAGCCGCCCAGCGGATGCAGCGTGGGCCCCGGGGCCTGACATGGCTGGGAGGGGTCAGACTGCTGCCGAGGACATCCCGAGACCCTGCCAACCTATGCCTCGGGGAGGGGTTGGGGGAAGCCCAGCGAATACCGAGGGCACCCTGACCCCGGCGGCCAGCAGGGGATCGTCCCGGTGGAGCTCCCCGTCCCGGGAGCGGATGCGACTGGAATATGACAGGGAGCTGAGACTGAAAGATCTCGAGTTAAGGCAGCAAGAACTGAAGCAGGAGCGGAAAGAGGAGGAGAAACAACATCAGCATGAGCAGGAAGAGAAGGAGAAACAACGTCAGCATGAGCGGGACCAACGTCAGCATGAGCTGGAACTGGCCAGGCTGAGGAGCAGTGGGGCCCCGGCTGCGGTGAGTGAGGGGGGACCCAAGACTGCAAAGAGCTTTGATAAGTGCTTCTTGGCCCAGTGTAAGGAGGGGGAGGACATGGATACCTTCCTGACGGCCTTTGAGAATACCTGCGAGCTGCTCCAGGTTGACCCTGCAGACAGGCTCCAGTTTCTCATCCCCTCACTGGACTCCACAGCCAGGGAGGTGTACAGCCGATTGAAAGGGGCGGAGACAGGGGACTACGAACTGTTCAAAAAGGCCCTGCTCTGCGAGTTTGGGCTGACCCCTGAGACATACCGGAAAAGGTTCCGGAGTCAGCGTAAAACCCATGAGGTCACATACCTACAACTAGCCAACCGGGCGCAGGGGTATGCCCGCAAGTGGACAGCTGGGGCCCAAACTAAAGAGGACCAGCTTGACCTATTCTTACTGGAGCATGTGTATGAGCAGTGCCCATCCGACCTGAGGCGATGGTTGATGGACCAAAAGCCAGAGAACCCGCAGCACGCAGGCCAATTGGCCGACGAGTTTGTGAACAGTCGGGCAGGGGATAACAGGGAGGAGTCCCAAAGGAACAGGCCCATCACAATGCAGAGAGAGAGTCACCATGGGACCTCCCATCGGGGAAATACGGAACACCCCCACCAAAGGGGAACATCCAGCGTCAGGGCCATCAGACCCGCTCGAGGGGACCCACGGGACATGGGCGGCTATCACTGTGGCCAGACTGAGCAGACCGAACCCACAGAGGGTTGACTGGGTACAGACCCAGCCGAGCGAGAGGCAGCATTCCTAGGGAAGGGGGGCTGGCAGAGTACCACCTGCTAAGGAGGAAAGAGAGCTCCAGGCCAGCTCCTCTGGGGGGCTGGATGCTCCAGACTCAGGGTTTTCAGTTTACAGGGTGGGCGCGGGGCTGTCCCTCTGGGGAGAGTGCCTTATTCCCCTGGAGGTGGATGGGAGGAAGGTCAATGGATACTGGGATATGGGCACAGAGGTGACGCTGGCCCGGCCCGAGGTGGTGGCCCCAGATCGGGTGGTGCCCGACACCTACATGACCCTGACGGGGGTGGGTGCGACCCCATTCAAGGTGCCTGTGGTGAGGGTACACCTGAAGTGGGGGGCCAAGGAGGGCCGTAAGGATGTGGGGGTGCACCACCATTTGCCCACTGAGGTGTTGATGGGGGGGGACCTGGAGGACTGGCCAAGCAACCCCCAGGGTGCCCTGGTTGTGACCCGTAGTCAGAGCTGGCGAGGGGCACGGCGCCCTGGCCTTGGGGAGGGGGCCTTGCCTGAGGCGCAGGACCCTAACCTGGTGGGGAGGGAACACCCAGGGACATGGCTCAGGGAGGCTGCGGCTTCAGACCCAGCCGGCGAGAGAGAGCGGGTGGCCATCCCTGTCCCAGCTGCTGAGTTCCAGGCCGAGTTGCAGAAAGATCCCTCCTTGCGGAAGATAAGGGACCTGGCCGACCTCAGTGCGGTACAGACCATGGGGAGAGGTGGCCGGAAAAGGTTCCTGTGGGAGAAAGGGTTCCTGTACCGAGAATGGGCTCCCCCAGGGAAAATGGAGTCAGGGGGGATCAGGAGGCAACTGGTGGTACCCCAGAAGTATCGCCGCCAGCTGCTGTACCGGTCCCATGACTTTCCCCTCTCAGGGCACCAGGGAACCTGGCGTACCCAGCAGAGGCTGCTACAGAACTTTTACTGCCCTGGGGTCTTTATTACTGTCCAACAGTACTGCCGATCCTGTGACCCCTGTCAGAGGGGGAGGAAGGCCCGGGACAAGGGGAAAACGGCTTTAGGACCCTTGCCCAGCATAGAGGAGCCTTTCCAGAGGGTGGCCAAGGTTAAAAGGGGGGCTCTGAACCAAGAGAGTCCGAATCACAGACCTCCAGACTGGAACGCTGGGAGAAGACCCCAGCCAGGTTGGAACCCCAGGGGTATTGGGGTGGGAAAAGGGCACAGGCCGCATAAACCTTCCCACATGCGAACTACGAGTGCCATCGAGCACCCCCGACCTAAGGGGGGGCGTGAAACTGGAAGGGCCTGGTGTAATTCTTACCAAGGAATGGGAGGGATGCTGGGGCATCCACGGGAATGGGGGTAGGTTCGAACTTCCCCGGGTCACTGGCTAAAGTGACCTCGCTCAGTTCGGTCTCGAAGGGGGGAGAGACGTGACGAACTGGGACTGTTCTTAATGTGGTCTTTGAATGCTGAGTGGGGAGTGTTGGCTGGGAAGGCAGGGGAGGTTGGCTAGGACGGTCTGCATTGGGGGATGGGAGACTGGGCTTGAGGGAAGATACCTGAGCATGTAACGTGAGAACCCAGGAAGGGGTTAGAGGCCAGGTGACACCTTTTCCCGGGAAACTGAACAAAGGCTGTGGGAGGGGTCGTTGAAGGGAGAGTTTCAGGAGCTGGCTGGTGGAATGGCTGGGAGGCAGACAAGGCTCTGACCTCCCAAGGGGGCTGTGGGGCCCTGGGACCCCAAGATGGACCTAACTGGGGGGGGATCCTGTTTTCTGTGCCTGCAAGACCTGTCTTGGACTGTGTTCCTGTCATCTAAATAAACCTGCTTTACTGGCTGGCTGAGAGTCATGGTGAATCGCAGGAAGCCGGGGGTGCAGGGCCTTGTGTCCCCCCACACTCCGTGACAAGCAGCCTTACAAATTATCATGTAATTTTAGCGGCCTAAATCCAAAATCTACTCAACTCCCTTTATCAAGATTATAATGAAAAAAACCAACAATTTATATTTTACTCCTCTTACAAAAAAATGAACCTTCACCCTGAGTGAGTATAATTTTGCAATCTGACAGTACCATATCTTTCAAATTAAAGCACTGTTTTCTCTTCAGCTGTTGCATTTTGTATCTGGTGCTTCTGTGTCCCCCAAAATCTACAAATGTATTTTTGGGGCCTACCCAATATATATTAGGAAAGTACACAACTGACTAATGAATATGACAATGTCCATGCAACACTCCTCTCATAAAT